ATAAATGAGCAATAGAGAGAAACCAACATGTTTGGGGGTTTAGACATCACCTCATCATCTGGGCTTGTGTATTGTATACGCTTTAAAAGTGGCTGGTCTCAACTGGAAGGCAGCAATAGCTATCTTGGAATGCAGTTGGCAGTGAGAGAAGGGAAGTCACATAGTGCAGGATCTCAGAAGCTCTGCTTCATATGCATTCCAAGTGATCTTGGTAAATCAGGCTCCATAGTTCTTCCACTGATTTCTCCTTTTCTGAAGTTTGATTTTAACACAGCAGTTAAAACAAGGCAGAAACATAAAATTATCAAAGAACAAAATTGATCCACTTTGGACAGACTGCATGTGATCCTATATTTCTTCATCCAACTTTTTCCAAGTCCGATTCCTGCTATCTCCACTTCTACTTTTCTTCTCACAAAAGTTTCCTCTCTCCTTATATTCTCATTCCTTTACCCATCTTCTCCACCTCATAGCTTATATATAATTCTGAACCCACATGTTGACCCACAGTACCTTCAAGACAGATATAAATCTCAATACCATCTTACTTCCCTCTTCTTCTTGCTTCTCCTGACTTTGGAAGAAATTTCCCCTAGTCCCAAACTCCCTCCTTTCTCTGACATCTGCAATCCTCACATTCTAATTTATTTTTCTCTGCCTCTAAAACCACCACCCTTCCCATGTGCCCTCTTCAACTCCTACATAGATTATCAAAACCTAGCCTACCTTCAGTTGCCCTCACCCCTTCAGTCTCCTTGCACATCACTAATTGACCTACTGACATATCAATAGTAATTTACTAACTGAAATTTCAGTATGGTTGTCCCACCAATTTCTAAAACATAAACTTTCCCAAACTGAGCCCATAATATTTCCATCTTCCTGTGCCATTTCCCCTGACATTTCTATCAAGGTCATTAGCACAGCTGTCAGTCCCTTCCTGTATGCCAGAGTGACAGGTGTAATATTGGACTCTGACCTTTCTGTTCAGACCCACATTCAATTACTGTTCATGTTCTGGCTTCACCTTAGTAACGTTTTCAAAATATTCCCCTTCCTAACTAATGAGACCACCAAGCTAATAATTCCGTCCCTCATCTTTGGTTTACCTCTACCCAGATTAAACCCCCTTCAGTCTGTCATGAACACTGCTTTCAGACTGATTTACCTTACCAACTGCTCAGTGTCCATCACCACTCTCTGCCAATCCCTTCAATGGCTTTAGCTCACCCAACAACATTCAAAATACTAACAACATACAAAGCTGTCTACAACTCTGCTCCAAGTTACATCACTAACCTTAACTCAAATACCACCCAAACTGTCCTCTTTACAAAAACCCTTGCTCTACAGCCTTCTCATCATCTCCTTACCCACTGCTCAGTGTCCGTCACCACTCTCTGCCAATCCCTTCAATGGCTTTAGCTCACCCAACAACATTCAAAATACTAACAACATACAAAGCTGTCTACAACTCTGCTTCAAGCTACATCACCAACCTTAACTCAAATACCACCCAAACTGTCCTCTTTACAAAAATCCTTGCTCTACAGCCTTCTCATCATCTCCTTACCAACTGCTCAGTGTCTATCACCACTCTCTGCTAATCCCTTCAATGGCTTTAGCTCACCCAACAACATTCAAAATACTAACAACATACAAAGCTGTCTACAACTCTGCTCCAAGCTACATCACTAACCTTAACTCAAATACCACCCACTGTCCTCTTTACAAAAACCCTTGCTCTACAGCCTTCTCATCATCTCCTACCATGCTCACCTCCAGGAGTTTTCCAGAGCGTCTCTCATCCTCTAGAACTTCCTAAATGGGTCTCTCTGACTATCTCCTACTCTATCCTCCTTTTTCTGAATTGTAATGTTTTCTTTTATATTGTACATTTCCGAGCAAACTGCCTGCACTATATAAATTCTGAATAATAAAAATGTCCACTAATATTGATCAGTTGTTTTAAATTGCAGGTCCAGCTAAAACTTTTCTTAGCGTGGGAAAGGATTAGAGTTAGTTGGGATATTACGGCTATCCAAGTTTTTTTAGGGAGATTTTCTCTTATTTCCTGTGCTAGTGACAATGATTTGCGAGAAGGTTAAGGAAAATATCAACAGCAACACAGACAAAAATATACATTGTGGGAAGCCACAACTCCTGTTAGCTTTTTTATAGATTGATGAGGCCCTGAATATTCCTACATTCCCTGTCTGGGAAAATCTCTGTTACCAGGACATTAATTGGGGCAATGTCTCTAACTGAGCCCCAAATAGCAGTAAAACCTCTCAAGAAATGCTAAGCTTTTCCCATTTTATCCAAAACAAAAAAAATTTGGCTGGACATATACTTTAATCTGACATTCACAAAACGTTCACTATTGGTAATTCTTGCTGGTGCATGTGTTTTAATAGACAGTGATTGATTCCTTAGTGAATGTTTTGGAAACACCAGCAAAAAATGCTGGTTCATCTATAGTGGGTTATATGATATAAACTTAATCCTTTTTTATTTTGGTCTAAATATTAATATGACATTTGCATAAGAAGTCAGCCTAAACCTTTTCTAATACTAAATCAACTCATCCTTAATAGAAACCATAGGATGAAGGTTATGCCTATTAATCTGAAGACCTCAGTCACTGATGCTGGAACCCTATTTGGATCAGCCACTGATTCAAATGATGATTAGGTGAAAATAAAGCAGATAACCTTGGGGAACCTTCAAAAACAGAAAAATATCACGTTTTGATTTTTGGAGTATTAAATTTGATTTTACACATTTTGATTGTCCACTTTTCACATAAATAAACAACAGCAACCAATCACATATCATATGTCAATATCTTCTGGTAGTTAGGCGTTGTCCTATGTCATTATACAAAGTTTTGTGTTTTACACAAATATAATAAGTATATAACATTCTTTTTAGCTTTTTTTGTCTCTTTTTTATAGCTTATAATGTGATGAAATATGAATGGTGGTTTTATGCATGCATTTTCAGAATTGTTGTTAGATATTCACAAAGAAAAAAGACATCATTAAAGCAACACTAGTAAAATGCCCTGATCTGGTATGCTTTTCCAGGTTTCTTGTTATAATTAGTAAGAATGATCTTACAACTTCTGTAAGTGTTGGAAAACATAATGAAAAGTGACAGAACTGGATAAGAGACATATTATCTAATTCTTCACAACTCTTATTTTCAGAGATTCTTTAATCTTCACATCTAAGTGTTGTCTATTCTGGGCAAAGCAACAGGATAGCTTTAACTCCCCCCACCCTTCCCCAGCAGTACATATTCATATTCCCTTCTTTCCCTAGCCATTTATTTAGCCTCTGAAAGGGGGATACATGACCAGTCAACCTGCCCATACAACAGCAGTGACAAGATTACCACACAGTTTTGGAAGAAATACACACAGCACACCAAGATTCAATTAGGAATACACATGTGTATTTAAACAATATTTGGTTATCTCAGAGCTAAGATTCTCTTTGTGCTAGATGGCTAAGGAGCAAAGGACATGTTAAGAAAAACATGTTGTTGATCTACAAGGCTTATAACTGATTAACAACACTGGTCTTCAAAATGTGACCCTTTGCTTGCCCTTATCTGGCCCTTGTGGCACTATTCCTCTCACTGATATGAGGCACTATTCATCCCACTGACATTAATGATGAGGCACCACTCCCACCAGGCAGGACACGCATCTGTCACCTGCTGTGTCCACACAGCAGATGACCCATCAGTTCACTGGCCTCTGCTGGTACCATGTGATCGCTGTAACCAATCACAGCAGATCACATGACAATTGTACACACAATTAATTCTTGCCATCCATTGTATACTATTGTATTGATCTCTCTATTTGGTCTCAGTTATCACATGGTAGAGACAGATCTAATCACAGCCCATCTGTACCATGTGATTAGCTGTAGCCAATTATGAAATGAGATAGGCCAGCAGTACATCAGGACTGATTGATTTTCAGATATATATTTATATATAACATAATTTGTGGACTTTCCTACAGAAATAATAAACACTGATTTGCTTTATATTTACCAAAGAAATGTAGTAGTATACATTTTGGCCTACATTTATGAAGAAAGATTATGTATTTACAAATTTTTGTAAAAGAAATGAAGAAAAACACTTTTACGCTTTTTTTCCTAAAACTTTTCAGTCTTCATTGGTTTATTTAGCAAAATATAAAAAAACCCAGTGGTGATTAAATATCACAAAAAAGAAACATCAATTTGTGTGGAAAAAAGCTAAAAATGTAATATGGGTACAGTGTTGCATGACTGTGCAATTGTCATTCAAAGTGTGACAGTGTTGAAAGCTGAAAATTCACTTGGCCATGAAAAGGGTGAAAATGCCCAGTATTGTAGTGGTTCAATCTCATTTTTATATTTTGTTTTGTGGTTGATTTTTCCTTGTATTGCTTTAAAACACATATTATTTTCAGTAAACATGCTATTTCCTGATTTTCTCTCCTGTGCTCTGCTGGCAGAGCTGAACAACAGCTGCATCCCTCTGCAAGATTGTACTTCAATAGATTTGTATTAACCACTTGCCTACAGGGCACTTATACCCCCTTCCTGCCCAAGCCAGTTTTCAGCTTTCAGCGCTGTTGCACTTTGAATGACAATTGCGCAGTCATGCAACACTGTACCCATATTACATTTTTATCATTTTTTTGAAATAGATAGAGCTTTCTTTTAGTGGTATTTAATCACCTCTGGGTTTTTATTTTTGATAAACAAACCAAAAAACAACTGAAAATTTTGAAAAAAAAATTTTTCTTAGTGTTTGTTATAAAATTTTATAAATAAGCAATTTTTCTCCTTCACTGATGTGCGCTAATGAGGCTGCAGTGATGGTCACTGATAGGCTGCAATGACAGGCACTGATGGGCACTGATGAGGAGGCACTAGTAGGTGGCACTGATGGGCATTGACAGGCATCACTGATGGGCACTGAAAGGCAGCACTCATATATGGCACTGATAGGTGGCACTGACTGGCACTGTTAGGTGGCACTGACTGGCACTGACAGGCAGCACTGACGGGCACTGATAGGCAGCATTGACTGGCACTGATAGGCAGCACTGGCTGGCACTGATAGGTGGCACTGATTGGCAGCACTGATAGGTGGTACTGACTGGCATTGATAGGTGGCACTGACTGACACTGATAGGTGACACTGAAAGGCAGCTCAGATGGGAACTGATATGTTGCATTGATGTGCACTGGTAGGCACTGATATGTGGCATTGATGAGGCACTGATGGGCACTGGCAGGTGGCATTGATGGGCAATGACATGTGGCATTGATGGGCAGTGACAGGTGGCACTGCTGGGGCTACACTGATCATTAGGGCACACTGATCACCAGTGCCCTGATGATCAGTGTAGATGTCCCCTCTGAGTAATGATGATTACCAGCTCTCTTCTCCTCTCGAGCTGTCAGCGTGACAGCTCGTGAGGAGAGAATGCCGATAACCGGCATTTCCCTATTTACATGTGATCAGTTGTGATTGGACACAGCTGATCACATGACCAAGCTGACATCTTCGGCTCTTTCCATTGATCGGTGATCCGCTGTGTCCGAGGGACACATCACACCACCGATCGCCATGCTTCGTGCTCCCGGAGCCGCGCATGCGCGGTTAGAGTGGGAGGACGTCATATGACTTCCTCCCAGAACGAGAAAACCGCCTTGCGCCCGTCATTACCCTATATGGCGGGCGGGAGGCGGTTAAAGAATATGAAGGGTGTTGTGTCTAACCAACTCTGGTGCCAAGCAGACTGTACAGATATCTTTAGACAACCTGTGCATCTGCTATAAAAGAAAAGTGGTGATAAAAGAAGAGATTGTTAGTACAATGTCCATTTGACAGCATATCTATTTCTGTCTATTTAATTGATCTTCAAGACTTCTTCCAATGGATGCGTTTTGGAACCCAGGGGCAAGGTGGGTCTCCCCACAGTTTGCATTTCTCGTGGTTCTAGGTGGTAGTGAATCCTTCTAAAAAAGTGCTGCAGCTAACAATAACCCAGTTAATCTATCAGTTAGTACTCCATAAACCCCTCTGATTTAAACAATTATTTACTAAGATCATTTGGAATCCACTAGTAATCTAGTGATTCTGTGAGCCTCATTTGCTAATGTGTGTGAAGTGAGGTGAGTTAAGTGATGTGGAGTTCACTTCATACATTTAATTATAAAATAACCCTATAAAATCATAATGTTTCAGCTGTACCCTTGCTGCACTCACCAGCTGAGGTGCTGTATCTGCCAACAAGGTCCATCATTCCCCCAGAAACACTCCAACTCTACATGCCTAGGCCACACTACCCTCATCTCTATGATCAATAAACTTTCATGTACAACGTTCATTGCATCTCCTGTCAAACATTGCTCCTCTGATTACTCTACTACTGGTTTCATCATTTTTTAAGTGGCTTGGTCAAAGGAGCAGGCATCGGTGAGACTGCAATGAACATTGTACAATAATATTTATTGAAACAAAAGTTCCACAATTGTGTAGCTTATGTGTTTATTGCTGGAGGCATACATCCAATTAGGTGCAGGATATGTTTTCTTTTTAATAGACAATTTCTTCTTGACATGACTCCATGTACAGGCTCACCTCATTTCGCTTCACTTTACCCTTAGTAAATAATGAGCACAACCTTATTGTTGATTCTTGTTGCAAGGTATATGGAGTTTTAAAGGAATTCAGAGAGCAATGAGATGCACCTATCAACATAAAACAATTAGATTTCAACTTTTTTAGTTTGCAGTAGTCTGAATAATAAAGATGCTATCCAACTGGCTGCTCTGGGTAGCCATAATAAGCTCCTTTTTATTTTCCTTTGCTTTATTTTAGAAATATGTGTTTAATTTAAAAGAGTATAAAAAGAAATGGTGTGCAGTACCCATAGCAACCAAACCAGATGGCATCTGTCATTAGTATGCCCTGAGGAGTTGAAAGCTGATCTGTGATTGGCCGCTTTAAACTCATAGTATAAGCCTTAAAGAATATTATAACTCTTTATCAAGGTACTGTATGTTCAAATTTGTATGCAAAAATAGGAATAAACATTATTTTAAGGACAATTTGATATAAAATGCGTGTTTAAAATTTCCTCTTTATTGATTATTTTTATTGAACTTCTTTTTACTCTAGGCATTTTCCACCATTGTCATTCATAACAAGCCACCTGCCATGTGTTCTCTGTGGCTGCAGAGTTATATGAAACATGCACAAGTCTTTTAAACAAAATTCATTAAAGATTCATACAACTCAAAGGAAAGAACTGATGTCCCTTAGGGTAGTAACACTCTGATCTTATTGCAGTGTCAAAAAAGATGAATTTCTGAGTGCCATTGTCAAGCTCCAAAGGTTAATGCTTCCTCTCTTCGTCTTTATAAAAATTCAATTAGCCTCCAATGCAGTTTAAATATTGGTAAGTTATCTTTCTGACTACATCAGTGATCACACCATAGGTTTAAATGTTTACAAAGCTGATTGTTAATATCTGAAATCAATCTAACATCGCTATATAATGATGGAGATATCAAAAATGTATATTACAAATTGTTTCTATGCTGGTTTTGTTCTTGTATATATAAAACTGAATATTATATTTCCATTTACAGCAAAAGTAGACTCCTATGTCTTTATAAAGAAGAGTAATGAAAAACACAACTGCTTTTTTTCCAGAGTATTTGATGTAATATAATGGTGTAAAGAGCAATGGTATGTAGTAAGCCACAACAACAAATCAAAAATATAACTAGAACTAAAGCTGATATGAGATCAACTGCTCTGAGTTGAAGCACAAAGTATGTGTTTTTATTATAGTAACAATAATATGTCATAATTTGGTGCAACACATAGTAAGTTTGTATTTTTTCTTGCCTATTTTGATACTAATATTGCAAAATATGCTGAACACACCTGAACTCTATCCTGGGTCAGCACTGCATGTGACTACTAAAAGGCTACACAGCTATTAGAGATGACACAGGTAATGTGTATTTAGAAGCTGATGAGGAAATTATGGGAAAAATTAGCTTGGTGGATTAAGGAGTATTAATAAAAAAGCTGCCAACCCAGATTTTCTATAACACAGTAGTGACATGGGATTTAAACTTCCTAATTGGGTCTAGATTTAGAATGCATAGAAACCTTAGCATATGTTTAATTTAAATATCAGATATGTATATTTGTTTATCTATTTATTGATGGACACAATAAATATCAGTGAAATATCAGAAAAAAAATTAAATGTTAAGCAAGTGATACATTTGAAAATTATAAAAAATAACCCAACCAACAAACAATACTATATACACATGGGGCATATTTATAAAGCACTAAATGTGACATTTACCAAACATTTAATGCAGGCGACTTAATTGCTGTAATTTAAAATTTATGCTCCAGGAAAAAATATCTGCACTAAATGTTTGGTATATGTGAAATTCATTGCTATATAAATATATCCCATAGTATACTTGCAAACTCATAAAACATACTTACATGCAATATGATGCATAGGTATATGTAAGACCATAATTCAACTAGACTAGTCCATCTTGAGTAAGTGCTAAACTAGTGCCAAACACCATCAACTCTTCTATGCACCTCCTGTATTCTTTTTTGCCTGTACAAGTGTTTTTATATGGATATTAATAAAATGGTATTTTTGTGGAGTGTAGCCATCTGACGTTTCTTCATGTATCCTGGATTTCAACTAACGAGGTGGGAATTGCGCCCGATGGACTGAGGACAGAATGGGGGAATCACACATCAGACCAACCTGGAGTAGTATCTACCTGTTTGCATATTCAGCTAGACATATTTGATATCTCCACACCTTAGAGGTTCAGGAATAATTTTAGGGACTTCATTTTAGTATAACACTAAATAGATTAAAGTAAAACTAAAGGCAACGTTTTTTTTTTAAGTGTTAGAAACAATTGAGTACTGTCCGTGATACTTTTTTTATTTGCACTAACATACAATTTTGAGGACAAGCTTTCGGGGTATGTCCCTTCTTCAAAGTCCAAGCAGTACTGTACAAATCACAATGTTTCAGCAGAATGTTAGAAGAGATGAAGGAAAAAAAAAAAAGAGAGAGGCTAGAGAAAAGATACAGCCAAAGCGATGGGGGGGGGGGGGGGGATACTACACTCATACAGAGGGAGTCAAGCTAACTAATAGTCATAAAATTGTTGGATAATGAGTGAGGAATCCCATGTCTAAGTTAAGGCCGTTATCTTTTGTGTCAAATAGAATTATCATTCTTAGTTCAAAAGTTTTTCTTTCCTGGATGGATTTGAATTTTCCTTTAAGAACTAAAATATTGAGGTCTCCCATTGTGTGGCCTGGTTGTGCAAAATGGTGATCTACAGGTGTGCAGAGGTCATCTTCTTTATGTTCCTTGATGGTATGTCTGTGCAGATTCATCCTTGTTTGCAACTTCGGTCCTTTTTCGCCAACATAAGATCCTTTGCTGCATTTTCTGCACTGGATAAGGTACACAACATTACTGGAGGTGCAGCTGTATGAGCCAAAAATATTGAAAATCCCTTTTGAGTGTCTGAGACACTTTTTGATGGATTGATTTGGTTGCACAGTTTGCAGCGTTTCTTATTGCAGGGTTTGCTTCCATTATTTGTGACATCTTGATTAGAAGGAAGTTTCCTACTGATTAGTTTGTTTCTAAGGTTGGGGGGTTGTCTGAAGGCCAGTATTGGGGGGTTGCTGGAATATTTCTTTCAGAGTTACATCCTCTGTTATGATGGGTTGTAAATCTTTGATTATTTTTCTTATTCCTTCTAGTGCTGGGTTGTATGTGGTTACTAGAGGTACACGGTTGTTGTTTTTTTTCTCTTTGTACTGAAGTAGATTTTCTCTTCGGGTTCTCAAGGCTGTGTTTATGCTGGTGTTGATAGTTTTGTCCTTGTAACCTTTCTTATGGAAGGCATCTGCTAGTGTCCCGAGATGTTTATCTCTGTCTCTTGGGTCAGAATATGTTCGGTGGTATCTAATGGCCTGACTGTGTATGATGGCACGTTTCGTGTGTTGGGGGTGGAAGCTGGAACTGTGGAGGTAGTTGCATCTGTCAGTGGGTTTCCTGTATATTGAGGTGTGAAGCATATCATCCCTGATGTATACTGTGGTGTCTAGGAAGTTGATGTGTTTGAGTATTCCATTTTTACTTTGATTGATGGATGAAAAGTGTTGATCAATGAGTAACATTTTTAAGGTTTTCTTCACCTTCTGTCCATATGATGAAAATATCATCAATATAGCTATAGTATCT